CTGAATAAATTAAAATGAAATGGTAAAAAAACTATCACTTTTATCGAACTAGAATTTTTAAGTCGTTGTCTCATTTGTCGGAAAACTCATTCCTAGATCATTCTCCCCATTTACTAGGAAATGATAAAGGTTTGAAGAAACGTCAACCGCAAAAAGTGGCTGAGTTCCAAGTTGGTATATTGCAAAGCATCAGCCTCTTTTATTTCTAAACTATAACTGATGGAAATGTCCAATATGCGCAACCATGTTCAAATGCCGAATTGGAACTTGTTGCGCTAATTGGTCAGTCAGTCAATCAGTCATAGTTTAGAAATAAAAGAGGCTGATGCTTTGCAATAACCAAACTTGGAACTCAGCCAGTTTATTGTGAAGTTGCTCGCCTGGAATGCCTGTAAAGCCTAAACGACCTTGAAAGCCTTTGCAACTTCGAAAGCCGCAACGCCTGAAAAACCTGTTATGGAGCTTCAGCTTAACAGACGATTAGTTAAATTAAAAGTTGAGCTAAAGTTGGCTGCCGATAAACTTCTTTGAAGAAGCGTATTTGCATAGTTCATCTTACACAGACGATTAGTTAAGTCAAAAGTTCAACGAAAGTCGGCTGTCGACCAACTTCATTGAAAGCGATTTGTTGAAAAGTCCGCACAATGGGACTACAGCGGCCAAAAGTAGCAAAAACGGAATAGCGAATTCGGAAAGAGTAATTACACAGATGCATAGAAAAATATCCAGCTAACCCAAACCAAAAAGAATTTTTGATAAAAATGCATATTTGCAATCAAGACACGAGCTTAAAATAGGAACAATACAAAAAAATATAATTGTAAGAAAAAATTTTAATTTTGTCGCAAGTAATTTGAATTAATTTTCCAATTGTGCGGATATATAAAAATTAAATCTGACTGATGAGCAGTTTTTGAATATATTTGTGGTCAAGCATTGCTTCAAGTTTTTTAAATCTTTTGAAATGTATAAAACAGTTTACCTTGAAATTCTACATAATTATGTGAGTATAAAATTTTTCCTGTGCTTACTTTAAAAAGGACCTGTTAAGCGAGGTAAATTATACTTAGGACAAGCAAACATTAAATATGCGGGTCATATCTCAAATAGTTCCAGCTGCGAAGAACTGCGAGTTCAGCTTCTAGTCTTCCTTTTATAGACCCACCTCCTGTAAAGTTTGTTGAATTTTTATTGTATATGTACATAAAATAAATAATATGCAATCACATTCAACATTCAGCCAAAAATGGACGCTTCTCTGGACAGGATCCGTTTTCGATGGCAAGAGTCTTGCTTGCCTTAGCTCAGCGTTTGTTGTATAAAATGTAGATAAAATTGAAAGTTTCAGTGTAAATACATATCGTGCACATAATTTAGTATGCAGGTTTGTAATTTTGCAATTTTTTAGATGATGAAATAGGAACTTTTTTAGAAATAAAATAAATGTGCCTGTTCATTTTCTTCAAAATTCATAACATTTAATACTTGGAGCCAAAAAAGTTGTTTAGAAGGTGGGCGCCGTAATAAGAATTGTTTTATTATCTTCCAAGTTGGAAAATTTTGGCTTAAACGAGCAGGGCACACCGAATATCACCAAAAAAATATTTTTTTTTTATTTGCGTCTCTTTCTAAAATTACTGACGATAATGTAACTCGATTTTGACGCTATTTCAGATTTACACTTCTCGTTAAAACCAACATATTCAGCCTTATCATGAGTTTCATTTTCCCCGAACCGGTTCACTTTTCACTCTTGGTTTCCATGGTTTTACTATGGGCGGATGACAAATTTTCGAGTGAATTTTTTTTCAGGTGAAACTCAGGATAAGGCAGAAAATGTATGCATATTAGCTCTGGGGGCTACTCTGTAATGCGATGCGATAGGCAATCGCCACAGCGTATTACTTAGATATATTTGCCCATCGCATCGCATTTCTCTTTCGAATCACATTACAGAGTAGCCCCCCTGTATTTAATCAAAATCAAGAGCGAAATTTTCGCGAATTTCTAGTACGGTTAGTACTTTTGGCCGCAGCTTGTATGGGGACGTCCCATGAACGAAAGACACTATTTTTGGTTCATGGGGACGTCCGACTGTGGGCCGTTTGCACAATTCAACGCTCATTGGGCTCTGTCACACGGTCAGTATTTATTGACGTGATCCAAGTATTGCGATATTTATTGACGGTGTAGCATACAATATTGATGGATCGTGATCCATATTTGGCAAATTTCTAAAAATTTTGAAATCTGGATCGCGGACATGAACCAAAAATACAAGATCACGTAAGAACGCGACGTTGTATTTGTAACTGGTTTTGAGAAAAAAGTTTGCGAAAGCGGGTTCGTCAACTGACGATTTGTTTACATCACAAGCACCACTATTTTACACTTTTATTCAAGTAAAGAAGAGTTAATTCAACATGTTTTGTTGCATCATTTTACGTAAATTGTGCGTTTAAAGTGGCTGACAATAATTTTGGCTAATTTTGGTTTTCGTTGTTTTCTTTGCTTTGTTTACTTTTCGCTTGTTTTCCAGTGAAACAAGATGGCGTAGAACCCGCTAAAAAAAATCGACTTTTTTCACTCTCTTGTTCTTACGTGATCTTGTGTCTTTCGTTCATGGATCGCGGATCGCAATACCGTCAATAAATATTGAACGTGTAGCACTTTCAAATGCGATCCATACATGTCGTCAGTACATCTTTTAAGGGCCATTTACATACAACTCTCCTCGCTTTGCTTGACAGTTCAAACTTTGACAACAAAGCGCGAAACGCAGAAGGTATGCTACAATAAACGCTTTGACAGCTTTTGCGTTCTCCTTTTCCTCCATATTTTTTATCTGTAAAATAGATAGCAATATAATAATATGCATTAATAATAGCAATAAAAATTCCTATTTACCCTATTTTTGTCATTAAATGCAAATGCAAGCGCATAAGAGAAGATAAATGTAGACAGCTGATTGCCAAAGCGGGCAAAAGTTGAGAGTTGCCTAAGATTTTGCTTCGTTTTGCTTTGCTTTGCTTCAAACGTTTTTTATGTGAGCATACTCATGCATATGCCTACGTCGATCTTATACGTCAAAGCAAAGAACTATCAAGCAAAGCGAAGAAAGTTGTATGTGAATCAGCCTTTACTCTCATAATGCGAACATCGAAAAGGTATTCCCTCTGCCTTCACTCTCAGTGCTTAAAACCTTTCAAGTCAAATTGAAAAAATTTTAATGAACATTGGAAATAATAATAATTGTGGAATGCATTATCTGTAAATTATACGTAGATTATGCGAATACTGACGCGATAAATATTGAACATGTAGCATTCGTGCGCGATCCATCAATCCCTCGATATGGGTCGCGATCCAAATGTGATAATTACTGACCGTGTGACAGTCCATTCAGCTAGAAGTTGAACGCCAAGTTGACCAATGCATTCTATTGTGAATAAGACATGTATAGGTTAAGAAGAAGCATACATTACCAAAAAACTCGCTAGGGTTCGCTGGCGTCGTAATGGCGCACACACGTGTTTTCCACGAGTGTCGTTTCTGCCTTCATTTTGGTTTTTCGTTGGGGAAAAGTTCAGTGATTTTGTTGTCTGCCAAAATAGCTTCAATTATCTGAACAGCTTTAACTTAAAAGAAATTTTGTTTTGTGCATGGAATAACATTGCAAACGAAATGTTTGTGCTGTATGAAACACCGGCGGGCTACGCAATATTCAAGCTGCTGGACGAAAAGAAACTCGCAGAAGTAGATAACCTCTATTTGGAATTTCAAACACCGGAAAAAGCCAATAAATTGTTGAAATTAAAGCATTTTGAGAAATTTAATGACACAACAGAGGCATTGGCTGCAGCCACAGCTGCCGTTGAGGGTAAATTGTCTAAACCTCTTAAAAAAACTTTGAAAAAATTTTTCAGCGACGAAGTACAATCGTCCTTGCTGGTCGCGGATGCCAAGTTGGGCAATGCGATTAAAGATAAATTGGCTGTGCCATGTGTCTACAATACTGGCGTGCAAGAATTAATGCGTTGCATACGTCAACAGGCCGACAGTTTGCTGAGTGGTCTGCCCAAACGAGAGATGACTGCAATGGCGCTCGGTTTGGCACATTCTTTGTCTCGATATAAATTAAAATTCTCACCAGACAAAATTGATACCATGATTGTGCAAGCCCAATGTCTGCTAGATGATTTGGATAAAGAATTAAACAATTACATGATGAGAGCGCGCGAATGGTACGGCTGGCACTTTCCGGAACTTGGCAAGCTTATTACAGACAACATTGCATTCGTAAAGACGATTAAATTAGTAGGAACTCGAGAAAATATGGCAAAATCGGATCTCTCGGACATTTTACCAGAAGAAGTAGAAGAGAAAGTAAAGGAAGCTGCTGAGATATCAATGGGAACTGAAATATCTGAAGATGACATCATGAATATTCAATGCCTATGTGATGAGATACTCTCCATCGATGAGTATAGAACCCATTTATACGATTATTTGAAGACTCGCATGATGGCAATGGCACCTAACCTAACAGTTCTTGTTGGTGAAACAGTAGGTGCCCGCCTTATTGCACATGCGGGCTCTCTTATAAATCTCGCTAAGCACCCATCTTCCACTGTGCAGATTTTAGGCGCTGAAAAAGCGCTTTTCCGTGCTCTGAAAACTAAAAAAGATACTCCCAAGTACGGTTTAATATTCCACGCTCAACTGGTTGGGCAGGCTAGTATAAAAAATAAAGGTAGAATGTCGAGATCATTGGCAGCAAAGGCTTCCTTAGCTACCCGAGTTGACGCCTTTGGAGAGGAGGCGAGTTGTGAACTAGGAGCAACACATAAGGTGAAACTGGAGGCACGACTGCGATTGCTGGAGGAGGGCAATTTACGCAGACTTTCTGGCACTGGAAAAGCAAAAGCCAAATTCGAAAAATATCAGGCTAAAAGGTAATATTTGAAAACCACACGAGTTTGTAAATCAGTTTCTTTGCACTTAAATGATGATACCATAAAGGTTTCGCATATTTCCGATCACATGAAGTGACGATAAACCTTGGCTGTCTGATGGTGCGATAAAATAATTTGCAAACATAAGACTTTATATTTTAAGCAGTAATGGTAATTTTAAATTTATTCCAGCGAGGTATTCACTTATGAACCCGAGGCTGATAGCACAATATCCATTAAAAAGCGAAAACGTTCAGAATCCACTCCAGCTGAAGTTAAAGACGAATCAGTGCTTGAAGCTAGTGAAAATCAAGATGAAAGTACAGCTGGGGTAGAAAAGAAAAAGAAGAAGAAGAAGAAAACTAAGAATCAAGATCACGAGCAGCCAGAAGAGGCGCCACCTTCCAAAAAGAAGCCTAAGACTAAAGAGCCGGACTCGGATTAGTTTAATTAGTTTAGTTATTTTTTTTATAATTAACATAGCTTTTCTAAGTGTTCACTTATAAGCATACAAAAGTATATTGTCGTGAAGCAAAATAATGTAAGGAATAAATAATATAAATTTTTGTATTCATTTGAAAAAAAAACAACGGAATACAAAAACGTGTTAACTACATGCCAATTTAATAGTCCAATCTAATAAGGTGTTGTATAAACGGTGGGATGTGTCAATTTGTCAGGGATATCACTGAATCCAGCGTGGCAAATATAGGAATTCGGATGCCTGCTACGAATACGAAAAATTGTTATCACTGAATTGGAGTGAACTCGAAAATATCGGTGCCAGCTTCGAATGCGGCACATTGGTGATTACCGCAAAGGAAACAATAGGGACAAGCAGTGGCGGTCAAAAGTGGATGGATGTTGTTTTGTTTTTAATATTTACAATTTTTTTCAAGTTAAAATATTTTTGTCAATGTTATTGTGGCTTGTTAACATTTTTTATTTTTAATATTTTTATTGAGCTTTGTACCACAATCGTCGTACGAAAACGACATCCAGTAAAAAACCAG